CAAAATTGAAAATTCATTTAGCCATTTTTAATTATTCATTTCCATTTTATTTTTATTGACAGCATTACAAGGTTAAAAAATTGCATACATATAAATAAGCATAGCATATAAAAATAAATTTAACCGTGGAAGTCGCGGCCATGAGGGAAGAACGTGAAGGGAGGAATATTTTTGACATATTCAACAACACGATATACATCACAAGATAAGTAGTCTAACTCTGACTTGATTAGTAAACTTGTTAGGTTAGAGTTGAAGCATCTTACAATTAATTAAAACTAACAAATTGTGTTAAGGTTGAATACGACATAACATATGACTTGATTGTCTCTTTGATATAGCTGTTGGTTAATTTTAGGCCAAAATCCTTAGAAGAAAGGAAAAAAATAACCACACGCATGACATTTACTTCTAGATGAATTAAGGGGAGTACATTATACATTACCAAATAAGAGGAATTTCATACATACTCAAGCATCTTGATTTGAAGGACTACTTCTACATTTCTTTTCTAATCAAAGTTTCCTTTGCAAAGTAGCAACTTTCACTGCAATTGCTAGCGCTGCCTTATCCTTGATGTCATCAAACCATCGAAAATAAGCATACCTCCATGAGTTCTTCATAATTAATGTGCCACAAACACCCCAAAAGCCTACGATAAAACCGAGTGCCGTGCTGACGCAGAACCACAACTTATCATTTCCATCTCCATTGTCGTTTGGATCCTTGGGGGTAGAAGTGTCTTTGGAGCAATTGGTTGAAAGAGGAAATCCACAAAGGAGTGGGTTGCCCTCATAAATGGATGGATAAGGGAGTGCTCGGAGTTGGTTGCCCAAAGGAATTTCACCACTCAAGTTGTTGTAAGACAAGTTCAAGTTCGACAAGAAGGTCAGGGATGAAAGACCCTGAGGAATCCGTCCTGAAAGGTGGTTGAGTGAGAGATCAAGAATCTCGAGCTTCAACAAGTTTCCAATCTCTGTAGGAATGCTTCCACTTAATCGATTCATCGACAAGTTCAAGTTCAACAATAGAACGAGGCTGCATATTTCTCGAGGGATTTCACCTTCTAAACTATTTGATGAAAGATCAATGCTTTTTACAGACGCTAGAGAAGTGTTCAATTGGAGTGCTCTTCCTTTCATTATTGTCGTTTGTTGATCATACTCAAAATATATATTATACATACTATAATCAAATATTATGAGACCAGTGAGATTGTTCAAACACTTGGGAATAGTCCCAGAAAAGCTGTTGTGAGCAAGGTCTAGGATGTGAAGGTAGGCAAGATTGCACAACTGTTGTGGGATATGTCCAACAAAAAAATTGGATCTCAGCCTTAGGGTTGACACCAAGAAAGCAGTTGATCCTATCCATGTAGGTATTTTACCAGTGAATCTATTATCCCCAAGATCAATGTTCCTCAAAGAAGTGCAGGTTCGCAAGGAAAAAGGAATTTCTCCCTCGAAATTGTTGTTGTTCATCTTCAACATGAAAAGAGAACCTGAGGCACCCATTGAACTGGGAAGATTGCCTGAGAGATTGTTGTATCCAACATCTACAATCATTATATGAGGCAACAGGCTCCATGCTTGTGGGAATTCTCCTGATAGCTTGTTGTTTCTCAGAGAAAGGACTAACAAGTTTTTCATGTTGCAAATGGAAGTTGGAATGGTGCCATTCAAATGATTTTCAGCAAGATACAACGATTCCAATTTTGGAAACCTTTGGTCCAAATTCAATGGAATTGGGCCAGAAAATGAATTGGTTTCAAGCTTAAACCGAACCACACTGTCACCAGACCAAAGTGGAATTGGCCCATCAAATTGGTTATGACTCAAATCCAAAAGCACGGCATTTGGGAATTTCATTTGCGGTGGAAGCTTTCCATGGATTTGGTTGTAAGACAAATCCAAATACTCAACTTGGGAGGATATTTTCATGAACCAATCCTCTGGTATGGAATCTGAGATTCCAGTGGCACGAAGTTTGACAAAGACGAGTTCAGTTTGAGATTGAAGCCATGCCCCAAAGGCAGGACGTACTTGACAGTTTCCAATGTTGATTGTGTGAAGCATGAAAGGAGGAACCCAATTGTAAGACACCTTGAAAATGAGAGGAATAGGTAGAGTAGGGTATGGATCCACTCTACCCAATGCAATGTATTCTAATTTTGTGAGATTTATGAAATGGGCTTCAGTTAAAAACCCTTCCCATGGATTAAAAGATAGATCTAGGTGAACTAGCTCAGACAGTTGCCCCAAACTTTCAGGAATAGACCCACTCATATCATTATTGTAGAGGTTAAGATACTTCAAATTGTGTAGCATCCCTACAGAGGCAGGCAATTGGCTTTTCAGCTTATTAGAAGACAAATCTAGTGACCCTAGTTCACTATTGGGACAACTTGATAAACCCCCCAAAAGCTCTTGAATCCTCCCTTCAAATTGGTTATTTGCAAGACTCAATGTCTTTAGATTGCAAAAGTTACCCAAAAAATTGGGAATTTGACCTGCAAGATCATTAAAAGATAAATCAAGAGCTTCTAGTGATTTGAGGCTTTCAAATTCACTGGGAACTGGAGCACTGAAAAAATTACCACTTAGATCAAGTTTTCTGAGGCTAGACAGATTAAAAAACCATTCAGGAAATGGAAACCTCAAATCATTATATGACATGTCAAGGATCAAAAGTGATTTGAAGTTAACATTTCCTAGTGAGTTTGGAAGGCTTTTAATTTGGCATGCTGGTAAGTGTAACTCTAGTAGGGAAGGAAGCTTGCTTAAAACATTTACCAAAGTCACCCCAGTGTTGCTGAGGTCCACTCCCTCAAGATTGATGTATTTTAGGGAAGAGAGATTGGAAAGCTCATTCAAGCTGTTGGAAGGTAGTTCAAGTGAAGAGTAGTCAGACTCTTCACTTAGGTCAAGATAGTTCAACTTTGATAGGTTACCAAGATGAGCTGGAATCTCTCCTCCAAATGAAGCATATGAGAGATTGAGATACCTCAAACTTTTGAGCAGACCAAAGAATGTTGGAATGGGAATCCCTTCA